TGTTGTACTCGGCCGGTGCATTATCTCTTCCTTCTTTAACAATGCCCATAGCTCCATACTTCACCTTTGCTTGGTCGACAGCCACTTTAGCATCACCGCTACCTTCCCCCCCGTCGAGAGGATGCATCGGCAATGGACCTACATGAACTCTCATACCCAAACCGGATTCACCACGCAGTTTGCTCTTCAATTCGATTTTCGCAATACCCTTTGCATTCTTCTTTTTCTTCTTTCTCTTCTTCACTGTTTCACTCCGTGGGTTGATGTCACTGACATTCTTCTCGTCAGTTGTTGTTTCATTCACTATGACTACTTCTGTTAAACTGTGCGACTGCTCCTCCAGTTCATGTACATCAGTTTGTTGCATCTCACTGCTTGTTTCCACCTGTTTGGAATGCAGAATGAAAGACGCGTCGTTAGTCATGCGGTCATGTTCGACTTCGGTGACGTCACCATTTTCGTTACTCATCTCAACGACATCTTGGTCGACAACAGACATCTCACCACCATCTACTTCAACTTTTTCTTCAGATGCATCATCATACTCAACAGTGTGGTTTAGCTTACCATTGCTGTTTCCTCTGCCAGGATAAGGATGGTGTCCACGGTTGAAGTTCCTCTTGTAACCTCCACGACCATGACTGCCTCCTCGACCTCTAGGCGCACCAGAACCACTACCATTACCGAAGGCGCCACGTTGACCGCCGAATCCAGCATTCCCCTTCTGGACCGAACTGTCACCCGCTGTAGGAACTTGGTTGATGCTACCACCAGTAGTCCCCCCGACACGCGTTCCACTTGTCGTCGCAAGCGTTGCTGCTGCCGCTGCCCTCTTCTGCTGGTTGATGAGCTTATCCTTTAAACTCTGGGCCTGCCTCGCTGCTTCGTTATCTGCAGCCCCGGTCAATCGTCTCCTCTCCAAAATAACCGGTGCCCACTCATCACTGTCTGCGGGTCCCTGCATATGCTGCAAACTGTCCATATAAGACTCGAAGGTTGTTTCATCAGGTGCCACACCCAGCATCCCCTCAAGGACCGCAATGCGCTTCTGTAACAAGATCATCGTAAGAACGCTCGGGTCGACCGCTCTCTGCAGCAAGAATAACAAATCAGCGAACTTGGGTAAGTCCTTGACTTGGTACACATCCATCAACCTCTTCATCCGATGGTAGTACTGCTTGTACGATTCACCTCGTTCTAACCCCATCTTGATCACCTTCTCAACCTCATCTGTTCTCTCAGTCTGCGTCATAGCACTCTCCACAAACACTTTCTCGCATCTCGCCCACGGCCACTTTCCTTCAGGGTCACGACTCAAGACTGCATTCATGGCATCAGACGCTTTGCGATCCATATTCGCCAAGCACAACAACCTTGAACATCTCTCATCGAACCCGCCCGTCGTGAACTTTGTTACTCCTATTCTATGGAATTCGTACAGGAACTCTCGGACGTTGGTAATCAAGGGACCGTGGATCTTGATGTCAAGAACAGGAAGCAGATGAGCCTCGACCAACCGATGGTAACGCGGAAACTCATTCGACAACTTGATCTCGTCAATCTTTCCACCCTTCTTAACCCCCAACTCCTCATTCTCCTCTCTGGTCACAACACTAGAGAATGCCGTCCTCCCCATGGACCTCTCAGCACTCTCTAGGTCATCCAGCATGACATTCCACTCGTTCATCGCGGTCTTGGCCTCAGCGATCTGACGTGTTAGTTCCGCCAACTTTGGTCGCTCCTGGTCGCCCTCCTCTTGGCGGCCCCTTCATGTGCAGAGGATATAAAAAGGCATATAAAAAATATCCAAAGTCCAAGGAACGGAGTGTTGACTTCCATAACTGGCATATCTCTTCATAGTGGGCAACAGAACACAGAATAAAATAGCAATAGACAGCACAAGAATTTTTAAAATGTAATCTCTCCCCTGTATTTCACGACAAAGATACAGTTGAGAATACAAGTGCTTTAGATGATCACATACAAGAACTACTCTGTCGAATCTTGCAGTGAGGGTTACAGGTTAATAGTAGATGGACATATTCAAGAGTTTGGTGTGCGAAAAATAAGAAGACTTTGTTGTTTGGAGAATAGGTTGGTGTTTAGTAGGATAGTTAAACAAAAAATGTTACAATGGTTGTCTTATATGCTTGGTATCATATATACATTCTCCTCTAATGGACGCGGTGGATATCGTCAAGATCTGCAGAGATGTAACAAACACCATATGATAATTTGGACTTGAAAGGCCTCCTTGGCTCAACCCTTGGATGCGCGCGGCTAACTGCATCTTCTGTCTCGTCAACGTCGCCAGTTGCATCGAATACTCCTTCATCTTTCCTCTGGCTGCATGGGCATCCATAAAGTCAGAGCCAACAGTCTCCTGCATGTCAACATCAACGGAGGCCTTTCAGGTCCAAGTTATCATATGGTGTTTGTTACATCTCTGTAGATCTCGACAATATCCATAGCGACTATGGGATGAGAATGTATATATGATACCAAGCATATAAGACAACCATTGTAACATTTTTTGTTTAACTATCCTACTAAACACCAACCTATTCTCCAAACAACAAAGTCTTCTTATTTTTCGCACACCACACTCTTGAATATGTCCATCTACTATTAACCTGTAACCCTCACTGCAAGATTCGCCAGAGTAGTTCTTGTATGTCATCATCTAAAGCACTTGTACTCTCAACTGTATCTTTGGGGCGAAATACAGGGGAGAGATTACATTTTAAAAAAACATGTGCTGTCTATTGCTATTTTATTCTGTGTTCTGTTGCCCACTATGAAGAGATATGTCAGTTATGGAAGTAAACACTCCGTTCCTTGGGCTTTGGATATTTTTTATATGCCTTTTTATATCCTCTGCACATGAAGGGGCCGCAACGTCCATGCCTGCTCCCTCATCTCGTCCCGACGTCAAGGTAAGTGCATCTAACGCACCAACAACCTTATTGCCAACGTCCTCGTTCTTCTTTGCCGTATTCGCTGCCATTCTCTATGACCCAATTAAAGGAAAAGAAAACAAACAGACAAGCAGAATAAACAGAAAACGAAATGAGCTTTTGAAAACTGATGATCAACCAGACTGCACCCCAGAAAAAATAATACTGTTACTACTAACGTCAACTTCCAGTACTTTTTTGCTCAGTGATCCACTTGATTCAAAATAAAAATAAAAAACAACACCCAGAAAAAACTAAAAGTTTTCTGATGCAAATGAATTCGGATGAGGGCACACCTAAATGCCAACAAAGACGAATCCCGCGTTTATTTGAACAAGAATGTCCTTGATCAAAACTAACGGTGAGTTTTCTAATGAATCTCTGCTACCGTGTTATATGAAGACCTCAAATGACCACACAGATGTATGATCGCACTTGAAAGCTCCAACACAAAAAGGTAGAATAGTAACCAAATAATAACAACGAAAGTAACCGCCTGTTACACTTCGTATTAATGATCAGTCTCTGCTGTAACCTTGTCACTAGTGACCAGATACACGCACGAAATGACCACAAATAAAAGAAAAGGATCCTGTCCTTGTTGGATTATCCTGAAAATAGAGAAAAATCCTGACAGTAAAGGTCCTGTTCTGTAATGATCCGTAAATGCTCCCGTTACGTCCTGAATCGCTCCTGTAGATTGATGGAGTGTTCCTCGTAATGGGTTGAATGAATAAATAAATGAGTGGATGGATCCTGTCAATCGTTCGACGGATTCTGATCCCGATCCGTGTTGTATTTATCAAAAAAAATGAAAATTTTTACGCTAGTCACGCACAATCGAATTGATAAGACAAGAGAGGGATCTTTGTTAACAGCCCAGACACCTCCATTTATGTCGGTGTCTGGTCATATGACTAAATTACTGTCTCTAGCCTAATTACATTAGCTGACACCCCCGAGACAGGCAAATATGCGACAGATGTCTTCGAATATGATGAAGATACAGTAGATACAAATGTGTTACATCTGAAAACTATTCATGTTTCGATGTATACTGCAGCCCACCAAATTTTAGAGCCTGATGAAGAGTATACCATTGTGGCGGCCGGTCTTAAAGAATTTCGTTCTGAACGTCGTTGGCATTTTATTACAGCATGTGGCATAAAGGTGCGCACAGGGAAATCGTTGGCAAAGATTTGGAGACCATGGCGTGTGGAGCATCTTCAAGGTCTACAGAGAATTGGTAGTGTGCAAGGTGTGCCGTTCATGACATTTCGAGCGATTAGAGTGGTTAATTCACATCATATACTTGACATGAAGTGCGAACGCGTTTGAGAGGTTTTTAAATACTTTGGAAAGACTTTTGTTAATTATAGTCTGGTATTATCATCTTCGTGGTTTGACATTTCCTCGTCATCATCCTTATTTGACGTTTGTTCATCATTGTCATCTGAAGCAACATCTATTCCTACAAATTTCTCTTGCATCCTTTGTAACTCAAGACCATTTTCCAGTTTGTTTTGTACTGTAACGGTTTGCGTTAACTCTGGGACAAGTTGCCTTTCTCGTGGATAATCTACCCCTTCTTCCATCCATGCACGATGATGTGGCAGCTCTTGGATATCCACTTGCAACATATTAGGTTTATCATTGCTCTCTAGTTAGTCATTCCTTGTCACTCTCTATCATCTCTGACTCACTATGACACTACACCTAGAAACCTAGTTGGCGACTTTGTATATATATTTAGTTGTACCATAGTAATAACATCAATCATCACTACTTCAACTCTCGTCCCCGTTCTATACTTCTCTGTCCCAGTCTTCGCCTGTTGCATGGTAGCAAAGGTTCCCTCGTTCCACCGATCTCTTGATTTTTCCCTCCTCGTTTTCACTGCCCGCGTTTTACTTTAATTTTCCCTCGTCCCAGCTCTCTCTGCACACCAGCCCTGAATTTCATTCCCTGCCCCTATTTTCCTTCGTACCCTCTTACACTCTGGACATTTTTGACCTCTCCGCACTTCTCTCTGCACTACCAGTCATGGTTACCCCTGCCCGCCTTAACCCCCCTCCTGTCTTTACATGCGCCCGCGACGGTTTCTCTGCCTTGGCCTGGCTCGTTGCGGTTAACCGCTACTTCAACCTTGCTAAGATAAGTGAGACTGAACGAACACCCCACGCTCTCTCGTACTTGGGCACGCCTGGCCCTGCCCGATGGTTTGATGGATGTGGGCTCCCTGATACTTGCAACTTCGAGACCGAGTTTACTCCTGCTTTTAAGCTAGAGTACATTCCCAACAACTTTGCGGGCTCCTGTCGACGACACCTCACCAATCTTCGCATGACCACCAACTTTTCGACCTACTTATCTACATTCAAGGAACTTTTGGGCGCCCTCCTTGGTTATGCCTCCACCGACACTGCCAAGACCACGGTCAACGAGTTCGCCCAAACATCCATTATCGACAACTGCCCCTTGGTTCTTCAACAGATGATCGAAGGACACATTATTCAAAACCCCAATATCACCCTCATTCAGATCTTTCAATACGCCCAAGAGATGGACCGCATTTACTCCTTCAAACCCGACACCGGCCCCAAGACCAACTCGCTCGCCATCGCCTCCGTGTCACAGTATCATAATCTGTTGTGACCCTAGATCATTAACGTCATCTAACCACTGTCTCATCGAACCACATTATCACCTAATTACATCCCCATCTAACCACATCACCACCTCACCACATCACCACCATCCTGGAGCCCATAGCCTAGCACACATAAATACCCTGGCTCCCCTGTACAATAAACACCATCCGTTTCTGCCTCCTGCTCTTGTCTATCACCCTTCTTCTGTTGCTATTACATGGTAGCAAAAGTAACTTCGATCCATACCCCTCTGCCCTGATCTGTCAAATTTTCTGTTCCTGCTCCAGCTCCGTTCCTGTCTACCCATATTTTATTTTCTCTTTCCACACGTACAGCTCTCTCCTCCTTTTACCATATCCCTATTATCCTTTTTTATTTTTTTATTTTTTTCTTACTTTTCTGCACCCTTCCGGCTCTTATGTCTGCTACCGACGAAATTCGCCAGCTCGCCTCTGGCCTTACTGACGAGGCCAGGACCAGGATTGAAACCCTCCTTGCAAGCCTTACTCCCCTACCTCCTGCTCCAACCCAACTCGAACAAGAGGCTGCCTGCCGCGATGTTGCCCGCACCCTCCATAAAATCCTTAAGCCTCAGGCCCCCTCTCCTTACGCTGGCGCGATCGACGCCGATGCCTGTCATAACTTCATCGACAATCAAGAGGAGTATTATGAGGTCGTCAACCTTGCATCCGCTGAATGGGTCCAGTATACGGCCCTTAACCTCACTGACGATGCGAAATCGTGGTGGAGATCAAGCGGCCTTACCATTCGCAGCTCCTGGGACGACTTCAAACAAGCCTTCCTCAACTTTCACACCCCGCCCAATGCCGCCGTCGCTGCTCTTTCGGCTCTTGAGTCTTTACGACAAGGCAAGCGTACAGTCGCCGCCTACACCCACGAATTCCGCCGCCTTCGCCGTCGAGTTCCCTCCCTTGACAATACTACCGCCTTGCACTGGTACAAAAAAGGCCTCGAAAAAGAAACCAGCAAGGAGGTTATGCTTCGCCAGCCGGAGACCTTGGATATTGCCATTACTCAAGCCACTCTGGTTCACTCCATCCTCTACCCTGACGGGCCCACTGGTCCCAAGCCCATTGTTCAACAATCCAGCGATATGGAGATCGACACCCTCCATGTTGCTATCAACAACCTCTCCGCACAAGTCAGCTACCTTTCGCGCCGATCCGGCTACAACCACAGCCAGCACAACACCAAACCCTTTATCTACAACCCCAATACCCACTACAAACCCGGCGGTCCTCTTCCTCCCAAGCTATCACAAGAAGAGAAAGACTACCTCTACAAGAATGGTGGCTGCTACAAGTGCCGTAAACTTGGCCACCTTGGGCCCGATTGCAGGACTTTTCCTTCGACTTCACGCCCGGCACGACAGTTCAACAATATCGAGGTTGCCGACACCCCAACCCCTCAACAGGCTACTTCCCAGGCTCAGTCGGGAAAAGCCAACAGCAACTAGAAGACGTCCAGGTTCTAGTTGCTGCTGCCCCCTCCTCTGCTCCTCTGGACCAGAGGAGTAAGCCTCTTTCTTCAGATAAGTTTTCCTCTTTTTCTTTTTCGAATAAACGACTTTCTCTGCCCAAAGACCTTGCTCCTCTCCCCTCCCCCGCTGCCATTACACTTGTTGATCCCTCGCCCCCTGTCCCTTCTCCCATTATCATTGAGCTCCCCGCTGTATGCACCTCCCCTGTTCAAGAGGGGGCTGGATTGGCTGCTACAGTGGACCTGGACCCACCTATGTCGCCCCTCGTTCTAGCCCCCACGCCTGGTTCGTCTGTTCCATCTACCACGCCCGTGCCTGAGACCGTACCTGTCTTTCCCACAATGACCAAGAGCAAAATCCGCCGGTTGCGAAAAAGGGGCATTGGTGTGTCTACGTTCACTGCCTAGCAAGCCAAGACTACCCTCCTCACCTTTGTCTGCAATGTTAATGGTCACTCCGCTCGGATCCTCATCGACGGTGGAGCTCAAGGCAACGTCATCAGCTCTTCTTTTGTAAAGCGACATCAAATTCCTCTTCACTCTTCTTCTCCCATCCCCATTGTCCTCCCCGACGGATCTCGCTCCTTCTCTGCCCACACCGCCCACATCACCTTTGCACGACAACAATACTCCACCACTCTCGATCCCCTCGTCTACCCTTTAAAGAGCTACGACCTCCTCCTTGGCAAACCTTGGCTCACACAAACCAACCCTCTCATCAACTGGCGAACCAACAACCTCCGCATCCGCTACAACGACATCGACATAGACTGGGACTGTACCGGCTCTCAGTCATCTTCCATCAGCACTCGCACTCGCGGCCTTCTCCTCTCCCACATCCACTTCTACACAGAGGCAACAACCCCCGGCAGCGAAATATACCTTGCCCTCATTCGTTCCAACGACAAAGACAACGACAAAGACAACAACAACAATAACGACAATGACAATGACCAGCCCACCTCTAACCAACAACTGCCCTCGATCACTCCCATCACACCACGACCACCTCCCTCTCTTCCCCCTGACATCCACTCCATTGTTCACGACGAGTTCCCCGACGTTTTTCCCTCTTCACTTCCTTCTGGTCTACCTCCGAACCGTGGAGATGCCATGCGCATCGAAACGGACCCGAGCGCTGACCCTCCTTTCAAGCCCGTTATTCGTTTGTCTATTGCAGAGTTGGACGAATTGAAGAAGCAACTTGATGAGTTACTCTCTAAAAAACTCATCAAGCCCAGCACTTCTCCCTACGGCGCCCCAGTGCTCTTTGTCAAGAAGGCCGACGGTTCTCTACGTATGTGTGTTGACTATCGTGGTCTCAACCGCATTACAAGAAAGAACCGTCATCCCTTACCTAGAATTGATGAGTTGATCGACCGTTTTCGGGGCGCAAAGTACTTTACCAAGTTGGACTTAATCTCGGGGTATCATCAACAACGCATCTATGAGCCTCACACTCATAAGACTGCCTTCCGTTGTCGATACGGGCACTTTGAGTTCAACGTCGTCCCCTTTGGCCTCACCGACGCCCCAGCCTCCTTCTCCAACATGATGCTCAAGGTCCTTGATCCCGTCCTTGACAAGTGGGTGGTCGTCTATCTTGACGATATTCTGATATACTCCAAGACCAAGGCCGAACATCTCCGTCATATTCGCAGTGTTCTCTCTCTCCTCCGCCAGCACGGTCTCTATGCAAAGTTGAGCAAGTGCTCCTTTATGCAAGAAGAGACTGAGTTCCTCGGTCATGTCATTACCAAGGATGGTTTACACACCAATGCCGGTCTTGTTCGCGCCATTCGAGAGTGGCCTCGCCCAACAAAACAAAAGGACGTTCAACAGTTCATTGGGTTAGCTCAGTTCTACCAGCAGTATATCCACAATTTTGCTGACATCGCTCTTCCCCTCACGTCTCTACTAGGGAGGCCATCCATGTTCGGCTCCACCAACCATAGACTACAGTATAAAAATATCTGTCAACACCTATTAAAACAGTGTGTTCCTTGAGAGTACAACAAATCTCATCAGCTTTTTCCTTCCACCAGTCTCCATTTTCTACATTCACCACCACTACTTTGTAACATCATCTACTTTAGCTGAGAAAGCCTTGGACATGATCATCTCATATTGGAAAGGAAATTACTATCTGTAATATCCAGGATCCAATATGAGATGATCATGTCCAAGGCTTTCTCAGCTAAAGTAGATGATGTTACAAAGTAGTGGTGGTGAATGTAGAAAATGGAGACTGGTGGAAGGAAAAAGCTGATGAGATTTGTTGTACTCTCAAGGAACACACTGTTTTAATAGGTGTTGACAGATATTTTTATACTGTAGTCTATGGTTGGTGGAGCCGAACATGGATGGCCTCCTAGTAGAGCATTTGTTTTCGTGTTTATATAATTAGCGATGGTTACTAATATCTCCTTTTCATGATATATCCTATGTGTATATCCAATATAGCACTCGTGATACTGGTGATGATGTAGTGGTAGTTTTTAAAAAAAAGTTGGATCCCGATTTTTTTAAAAAGTAGCATAGTGGCTTTAACAAACATTGGTTGTTGGAAAGAAAGGGTAGCTGATACGTTTTTAATGGCGTTATTGCTACACTTTCTCAACAATATTCGACATTCGACATTTGACATTCGGCATTCGATTCGACAGCTGACAAACTGTAGTTATTACCATAGTTATGATATTTGATATGAACGCATTTTGGATGACCTCGTGATTATCGTGATGTTTAATTTTAATACATTCTTGATAAACTCGTAAGTATTACAATGTTTAATGTTGACATACTTTAGGTAAGCCCACGATTTGCACGACGTTTAATATTATTACACTTTGGTTAACTTACAATTGTTATAGCATTTATTGTTATACAGATTGTAGGTAATTACGACAATGGTAAAAACAGAGATATCGCAATTAGACCATGCATTGTGGGTAGTTGTAGATATAACAATTATATCGTTTAAAATAGACGTTTCTTAAAACACATCACATATTTTATAATGCAAATGGCTATTATATTACAACGTTTCTATTGCATTTTGTGTGATAACAAGATAGAAAAAATGTATTGTTAATAGAGTAATTATGTCGTTAAAAATAGACGTTTCTTAAAACACATCACATATTTCGTGATGCAAATGGATATAAACATCGTGGCGTTTCTATCGCATTTTGTGTGATAATAAGGTAGAGAAAATGTGTTGTTAACAGAGTAATTATGTCGTTTAAAATGGACGTTTCTTAAAACGTATCACATATTTCGTGATGCCAATGGGTATAAACATTGTGACATTTCTATCGCATTTTGTGTGATAATAAGATAGAAAAAATGTGTTGTTAACAGAGTAATTATGTCGTTTAAAATAGACGTTTCTTAAAACTTATCACATATTTCGTGATGCAAATGGGTATGAACATTGTGACATTTCTATCGCATTTTGTGTGATAATAAGGTAGAGAAAATGTGTTGTTAACAGAGTAATTA